TTGAAGTTTGGGCACTCGGTCTGTAAAAGGTTCACCATCACTGCCCTATCCCAACCAAACTCACTTTCTCCCCTTCGCCCGGGGAGAAAGTTCCGAGCCGCAAAACACCTGATTCGCGCTGTTTTGACGGCTTTGACGCAGTCCCGGGCTGGAGGCTAAGAAAAAAGCCTCCTTCGGCGGCGCCTCGCCACAGGAAGCTCGAAATTTCCCAAGTTTCTTGAGTTGTTATTCCCTTGAAGATTCTCATCCATGGAATCCTACCCAAGCTCTCTCTAAGTTTATTGAAATTAGCTCTCTTATAGTCAGAGACTCTAGTTTGACTGTGTCCTATTGCTTGTGCTTCCATAATGTTGAATTCTAATATTGTATGATCACTTCCCCCCAAGGTTCCTATGGCTTCAACACCTTCTATCATTTCATCTCTGTTAGTGAGGATTAGATCCAATATGGCTAATCCCCTAGTTCCCTTCTCTACTTTTTGGGAGACAAAGTTGTCTGCTAGGTTTGTCAGGAATCTGTTTGATCTTCCACTTGGTGCAGAGTTTGTCTCCCAGTTGATGTCAGGGTAATTAAAGTCCCCCGTTAGTATTGTGATGTGCTTCCTACATACCTTAGTTAGCTGACTAGCAAAAAGTTTTAACTATTTCCTCTGTTTGGTTGGGTGGCCTGTAGTATACACCTATAGCAATGTTATTTCCCCCCCCCCTTTTATATTGACCCAAATGCATTCAAGACAGTTTTCATCATTGTTGTGCTCTATTTCTGTAGAGATGTAGTTATTTCTTATATAGAGAGCAACTCCACCTCCTCTTTTGTTTGGTCTGTTTCTTTTAAATAATTTAAATCCCTCTAGCTGTGTGTTCCATTTGTGGTTTCATCCCACCATGTTTCCGTAATGGCAACAATATCATATCTGCCCTCATTTACCTGAATTTCTAGTTCACCCTGTTTACTTTTCATACTCTGTGCATTGGTGTATAGACATTTGAGTCCTTTATGACTGATCCTGTGTTTACTTTCTACATAACCTGTGTGGTGCCTGAGTTCCCCTATTTTCTTACCACCTATTTGGTTAGTGCACTTTGTGTGGCACTCACTATTAAAAGCTTGATTTTGCTTGACAGCAAGGTTGATATTCTTGTCCACACACACATCTATGTTACATGCACTGGTAGCCCTATAATTTTTAGATTGCCGGGGACAGGGATGTTCTGTATCAATTAACTCACTGTCCCCGTTGTTTAGTTTAAATATTCCTCCAGAATATTTGTGAATTAAGTAACTCAGTCCCTTTCTTGGATGGATGCAAACCATCTCTTTTGTACATTTTTTCATTGGACCAGCTACAGACATCGTGACTAATATAACCAAAGCCTTCCCCTTTACACCATTCCTTTAGCCACATATTGAATTCTGCTATATGCTGGCTTTTTCAATTTTGCTCCTTATACACTGGTAAAACCTCTGAAAAAGGAAGCCTACAGCCTATCCTGCTAAGTTCCTGCCCCAAGCTCTGGAAAATAATAATAATAATAATAATAATAATAATAATAATAATAATAATAATAATAATAATAATAATAGTAGTAGTAGTAGTAGTAGTAGTAGTAGTAGTAGTAGTAGTAGTAGTAGTAATAAAGTTGGAAGGGACCTTGGAGGTCATCTAGTCCAACCCTCTGCTCAGGCAGGAAACCCTATACCATTTCCGACAAATGGCTGTCCAGTCTCTTCTTAAAAACGTCCAGTGTTGGAGCATTCACCGCTTCTGGAGACAAGTCGTTCCACTGGTTAATTGTTCTAACTGTCAGGATGTTTCTCCATAGTTCTAGGTCAGTGATGGCGAACCTTTCAGAAACCGAACGCCCAAAAACTGGCCCCGCCCCTGCTCTACCCCCTGCCCCCCGCCCCACCTGCCTGCAGGGCCACTCACCGCCTCCAGGGCCCGCCGCAGATCGCCCAGGCAGCCCAGCAGCGCTATGGCGGCCACGCCCTCTGCCCGCGCCCTGCAGCATCAACTGTGCACGATGGGGTGTGAGGGCAGAGTCTTGTCTACGCTGCCTGGCTGCCATGTCCTTGGCTACTCTGCTCCGCGTGGGCCACGTTCAGGGGTGACTCTCCTTCAGGGGGGCTGCTGGAGAGGAGGGGGTCACGGGGGGAGGCGAGGCTGGGGCAACAGTACGTGTGCCCACAGAGAGGACTCTGAGTGCCGCCTCTGGCACCCGTGCCATAGGTTCGCCACCACTGTTCTAGGTTGCTTCTCTCCTTGATTAGTTTCCATCCGTTGCTTCTTGTCCTGCCTTCATGCGCTTTAGAGAATAGCTTGACTCCCTCTTCTTTGGGGCAGCCCCTGAGATATTGGAACACTGCTATCCTGTCCCCCCTCGTCCTTCTCTTCATTAAACTAGACGTGCAATTCCAGCAGCCGTTAAACTGCCCCATCCCTTATAATTGGCTTCTCTTTTTGGATGCCTTTCTCTTCTTGCACGACTGATGTGTAAATACCTGATTCGCACTTCTCCCTGTCGAAAACAAGTGCTTCATCTCGGACCACGATCCCCTGCTTATTATTGACATTACCATCACATTAAATAATTATTTACAACTGTTGCAGCATCCCCAGGGTCACCTGATCAAAATGAAGGCGATGGACCAACTGGCATGTATTTACCAAAGTTGCAGCATCTCAGGGTCATGTGACCACCATTTGTAAATTTTCCAGCCAGCTTCTGAAAAGCAAAGTGTGTGTGAGGGGGTGGGGCGGCAGGATTTCCTTAACGACTGCATGATTCACTTAAACAACTGTGGTGATTAACTGTGGCAAAATGGTTGTAAAATCGACTGTCACTCATTTAATGAACATCTTAGCAACAGAAATTCTGGTCCCAATTGTAGTTATAAGTTGAAGACTTATCTGCTACAGTCTAGACCAGGGGTAGGCAACCTTGGCTCTTTTATGACTGGTGGACTCAGGAACTCCCAGAATTCCTGAGCCAGCCACGCTGAGGGGAAAGGGAGAGGTTTCCAAGCTGAGCCAGGCTGGCTCAGGAATTCTGGGAGTTGAAGTCCATGAGTCATGAGGGGGCCATAGTTCCCCCATGCTGGCTCAGGAATTCTGGGAGTTGAAGTCCACGAGTCATGAGGGGGCCATAGTTCCCCCATGCTGGCTCAGGAATTCTGGGAGTTGAAGTCCGCGAGTCATGAGAGGGCCATAGTTCCCCCATGCTGGCTCAGGAATTCTGGGAGTTGAAGTCCGCAAGTCATGAGGGGGCCATAATTCCCCCATGCTGGCTCAGGAATTCTGGGAGTTGAAGTCCACGAGTCATAAAAGAGCCGAGGTTGCCTACCCCTGGTCTAGACTGAGCCGAGACTATAACCCTAAGGCAGGGGTAGGCAACCTTGGCTCTTTTATGACTCGTGGACTTCAACTCCCAGAATTCCTGAGCCAGCATGGCTCAGCTTGGAAACCTCTCCCTTTCCCCTCAGCATGGCTGGCTCAGGAATTCTGGGAGTTGAAGTCCATGAGTCATAAAAGAGCCAAGGTTGCCTACGCCTGCTCTAGCCTAATGCTTTAGATCTCAACTTGCCGGCTTCTTATTTAATCGACAGCCATTTTTAAAATGGAAAGCCAATTGGCACAGCAAATGTGGTAGATCCCAAAGATACCCAATTGCCTTCTTCTAATGTAAATATGTACACACTTGGAAGTGGCCACAAAGCTTCTGACTGCAGGGGGTTGGATTAGAACAGGGGTCCCCGAGCCTCAGGCCACGGCCCACTACCGGGCCGTGGCCTGTTTGAAATCGGGCCGCAGGAGCGATGGGCAAGCGTGGGCAGCTCCACTTGCGCGAGCGGAGGGCACTTGTGTGGTGGGTACTTGTGCTCACGTGTGAAGCTCCATCCGTGTGTGGAAGGCATGCATGCCCGCTGCTCGCAATATGGAGCTGTATGTCATGGTTCCGACAGATGAAACTCTTCAAAGAACTTCGAGGCATGGTTTACCTTAAAGAATCTTTATTTGAGTAGCATAGCATCGGCACTAACATAGTCAAAGCCAAAAACTGGATTCCCCTCCCCTGAGCACATAGTATCAAAGCACCGTTCCCTCCTCCAATTAACAGTCATAAATCACATTCTCCAATTAGTTTGAAATGCAGGCTCTCCCTCCAGTTCTCCAGCTCCCAGTTCTTATCATCTCTTATTTCATTAACCTCGGTTCACACACCACTCCAGTATTATGTCTATCTAAACTCTCATGCACATTCCTCCCCCCCCCAGCATCATCTAACCCTAAAAGTAAAAACATAAGAAGAAAATGGTTGCATCTCTAACTGTTGTTAGCAGCGTTGACACTGTACACGCGGTACCTACACATCCCCCCAACCCCCCCTGTCCTGGGCTGGGCCGGACCACCAAGGTGGAAAGGTTGGGACCGCTGGAGTAGAAGACCTCTGAGGTAACTTCCAGGTCTGTGTAACTTACAAGTGTTCTTCTTCTCTTCAGTGGCTAGAAACACGGCCACAGCGTCAGGAATGTCCGGTGTGCAAGGCGGGCATCAGCCGGGACAAAGTCATCCCTCTGTATGGGCGTGGAAGCTCTGCTCAACAGGATCCCAGGTAAAGCGTCTCCCTTTTTTTGTCGGAGTTTGAGTAGGTGAAGGTAAAGGAGCCCCCGCAGATTTTACTCCGCTAGTTGACAAGCATCCAAATTTTGATCGTGTGACCAGAAGGATGCTGCAATGGCCGTGAAGTGTGAAATATGATCATTTTTAAGTGCCGTTGTAAATGAATGGTGTTAAGTCGCGGCCTGCCTGGAATTGTTTTAATCCTTTGTTATGGGTTTTGTAACCCATCTGGGGTGTGGGCAGCCTTGTTAAATTGAGTGAATTAAAATTACATTGCCAAAGAAGAGATGACCTCTGGTTTGTTTCTCAGTGCAAGTCAAGGTGTGAGTGACCCCTTTAAAATCCTACGTGGTTTGGACAGTTTACGTGAAATAAAACTGGACAGTAGAATGCTGAGTGAGAGTCCTGTGTCTTGAGGAAAGGGGGCTTTGGAGGCAAGTATTCTCTTCAGGAACTTCCCTCACGGGGAGTGCCCCCCTGGCAGTATAACATCTGTCCTCTCATTTTTAGCGTTTAGGCTTTTCCAATGTGCACCTGAAGTAAGAGTAGGCCAAATACCCGAGTAGGAGATGAAAATTCTTGTTGATCAATGATAATACTATGGTTTTATAATAATGATCATTGATTGACGTTTGGTGAAGTTAATACTTTTATCGGCCAGCAGTGTGCTGCAGCTGCCAAAAAGGCCAACACAGTGCTAGGCTGCATTAACAGAGAGATAGAATCAAGATCAGGTGAAGTGTTAATACCACTTTACCAGAGAGATAGAATCAAGATCAGGTGAAGTGGTAAGGCCACACTTGGAATACTGCATCCAGTTTTGGTCACCGCGATGTAAAAAAGATGTTGAGACTCTGGAAAGAATACAGAGAACAAAGATGATTAGGGGACTGGAAGCTAAAGCATGTAAGGAACGGCTGCTGGAATTGGATATGTCTAGTTTAACGAAGAGAAGGACGAGGGGGGACATGATAGCAGTGCTCCAATATCTCAGGGGCTGTCACAAAAAAGAGGGTGTCAAGCTATTCTCCAAAGCGCCTGAAGACAGGACAAGAAGCAACGGATGGAAACTAATCAAGGAGAGAAGCAACCTAGAACTAAGGAGAAACTTCCTGAGAATTAGAACAATTAATCAGTGGAACAACCTGCCTCCAGAAGCGGTGAATGCTCCAACACTGGAAGTTTTTAAGAAGAGACTGGACAGCCATTTGTCCGAAATGGTATAGGGCAGTGGTGGCGAACCTATGGCACGGGTGCCAAAGGTGGCACTCGGAGCCCTCTCTGTGGGCACACGCACCGTCTCCCCAGCCCCTCCTCCTCCCACGGCCCCTTCCTCATCAGCAGCCCCCCCCGGAGGAGTGTCACCCCTGGGCACGACCCACGCGAAGCAGCGCAGCCAAGGACATGGTAGCCGGGCAGCGGGGACAAGACTCTGCCCTTGCACCCCGTCGCACGCAGATGATGCGGGGCATGGGCGGAGGGCGTGGCCGCCATGGCACTGCTGGGCTGCCTGGGTGATCTGTGGTGGGCCGTGGAGGTGGTGGGTGGCCCAGTGGGCAGGGCGGAGCAGGGCCATGGGTGGGGGGGGCGGTTTTGGAGCACTCGGTCTCTAAAAGGTTCGCCATCACTGGTATAGGGTTTCCTGCCTGAGCAGGGGGTTGGACTAGATAACCTCCAAGGTCCCTTCCAACTTTATAATTATAATTATTATTATTATTATTATTCATCGTCGTATTCTATTTTGCTGCTTAGCCAGAATGATTGAAATGGTGCAAAAGCATCATTAATAAGTAAAATCAGAAGCAGCAGGATTGAGGCCAAGGGCGTAATCCTGCCTTTTTCTCCCTCACACAGATTGAAAACTCCCCCCCGACCTCGAGGGCAGCGCCCGGAGCCTGAGTCGCGAGGGGTGAGTGTAGCCTGCTTCTGACTCCCCTTCCCATATTCATCCTGGACTAACTCTACTCTTTTGTAACACACCGTTACCCCACCCTCCTTCTTTTTTCTCTTCTTCTCCCCCTCCCCACCCCAGCAGGGCATCGGCAGTTTTCCTGAAGCAGCCACAGGCTTCCACATGGCATTTGGCATCGGCGCGTTCCCTTTTGGCTTTTTTGCTACGGGCTACAATGCGCCAGGAGAAAGAGCAGGTAAGGTCCTGCTGTAAAGGGGTCGGTGTTTACAAAATGCATCTGCAAATAGGCTTTTGGTTCCCTGTGACCGTATTTCCTCTGCCTTTCTATTGAAGCCAAATGGTGTCTACCTCTGTTCTTCCAAGCTTTTAGACTCGTGCTGGAGTTCCCCCTCAGGGAACTTCTCTTTCTCCAGATTGTGTGCCCTGGGCTACCTGTTGCGTCTATACGGTGCCCGGTTGTGTACGGCTTTGTTAGACCTGTCCCAGGAAAGAATCTTCAAGAACGAAAGACCCTCGACTCCATTTGTAGGGAAAAGTATTCTTTTATCGAAGTCAAGTAATTGCAGCGTAGCAAAGCCAGATCTGAGGCTTTCCCGCGTAACCCCAGTAATTTTGCCTTCTCCCAAACCCGCCCTCCTTTTGGTTATCTCGGTGATGTCCAGTAAGGTTCAGATTTTGGTGACAGTTCCACCTTTTGGCACCTCTTTGGATGGGCGTTTCGCATCCCATTCCCAGGCTGTGTCCTTGTGTCTTTCAACCGTTGTCTCTGGATAGCACCTCTGGTTCCTGTCATTTCTCTCCCCCATATCTTTATAATAATAATAATAATAATAATGATGATGATGATGATGATGATGATGATGATGCAACATAACACCCCAGACTTAACAATTGTCGATAAGAAAGACAAAAAAGTCTGGATAGTGGACGTGGCAGTGCCTGGAGACAGCAGAATAGACGAGAAAGAACTGGAGAAGATAACAAAATACAGAGACCTACAAATAGAAATAGAAAGACTGTGGCAAAAGCAAGCAAGGGTAGTACCAATAGTAATAGGCGCCTTGGGTGCAATCCCAAAACAACTGGAGCACCACTTGAACACCATTGGCATTGACAAATTCGCTATTAGTCAATTGCAAAAGGCGGCCTTACTAGGAACTGCTTCCATCCTGCGACGATATCTGTAATACCATCAAACATCCACATCTGCCTATCCCAGGTCCTTGGTAAGGACTCGACAGGTAGACAAAAATGCCAAATCCAGTCTGAACATCTGGCTGACTGTGCGATGATCCATAATAATAATAATAATAACTTTATTGTCACTTTGAATGTACACCAATTGGCATACATCAAAATGAAATTTCGTTGGATACAGCTCTCAAAGGGTCACCACCTCCGATATACACTCCTTGTTCGTGGCCAGCTCAAGTTTCAGATCGTCCATTTTAGTCTCTAGGGAGCGAACGATGGCAAACAGGACAGATGGAAATGGAGCTCCATGTGGATTAGCCCTCAAATTAGCTTGTATTCCTGCACGACAACCTTGCCTCCTTTTCTTTTTCTGATCTTGACTCTTCCACCTTTTCCTTAAAGAGGCCTCGCTTCTTTTCGCCCCTGGAGCACGCTGCCACCGCCACCAACTCCTCCAAAAGCCTCTCTCCCATCCTCTGGGCCTGCCGACAGCCTCATCCAGTTCCTTCGCTCCGTAAGCCCCGGGACCTCTCCTCCTCTGCCTCCTTTGGAAACAGCCCTGATTTGCAGTAGAATCCATCGCTGGGCCAGCAGTCAGATCTTGCTGCTGGCAGAACAATTTCAAACAGCGCCAACAACTTTTAACGGTCTCACCAACAGTTCTGAAACAGCTAGAAACTCGTCATGCCAGCAAAGATTGTCAGTTGTATGTTACCTTAGTTCCACCACGTTGCTCAAACGCATCAAAACCTTCCTGATCATGTGGTCCATATCCCTTAATATCTCTCCCAAAACTTTTCACCTTCAAGAGCCAATGCAGCCACCGCCATCTTAGAACTTCTTTTCCCCACATTTTTTGGCAGGCTGCCATCAAAGTGAGGTAAAGCATTGCTGAAGCAGTTTGATGGCAGATCTGACAGGCTTTTAGTTAATTAGAGTATCGATGACTGTGAACCCTAATTAATAACTAAAAGCCACATACAACCAGGCACCATATAAGTACAACACATAGCTCAGGGTACATATTCTGGAGAGAGAGAGAAGTTCCCTGAGGGCGAACTCCAGCACATGCTGAAAGCTGCAACAGGCTGCCGGTGGCCTTCCGGGTGCGCTTCAAGGTGTTAGTAACAACTTTTAAAGCGCTCCATGGCAATGGACCTAGGTATTTGCAAGACCGCCTCCTACCAAACACCTCCCTTCAACCAGTCCGCTCCCACAGAGAGGGCCTCCTTAGAGTGCCGTCGGCCAGACAATGCCGGCTGGCGACCCCCAGGGGGAGAGCCTT